TTCTTATTTATGGAAATATTTATATGAATTGAATGAAGGAATTACGGAACTCCTGATCCAAAGGCCATACCCTCGGACATAGAGTGCAGTGGATGTGGTGCTCACCTGCACTGTAGTGCTACTAATATTCCCGGATATATGCCGTCAGAAAAGTTCAAGAATTTGAGTGAAGAGCAACTGCGGGCTGAGAGGTGCCAGAGATGTGAATATTTGTTACACTTTAACGTTGCACTCAATGTAAACGTATCCAACGATCAATACCCGGAACTAATGGCCAAAATTCAAAACACAAAGGCGTTGATAGTAATTATGGTTGATTTGCTGGACTTCCCCTGTAGTGTATGGCCGGGTATTATTAATTTGATTGGAACTGACCATAAGGTATATATCGTTGGAAATAAAGTCGATTTATTGCCAAAAGACAACGATTTATATCTTGAGAGAGCACTACATTCGCTCAGAAAGTCTTTGGAAGCAAATAATGTGAGCAAAAATGCCCGGATTATTGATGTGAGTCTTATCAGCGCTAAGACAGGTTTCGGTGTCGAGAATTTGGTCACAAGATTATTGAGAGATCGTCGCAATGGAGAGGATTTGTATTTGATTGGCTGCACGAATGTGGGAAAGTCTACTCTATTCAATGCTTTAATGCAATCAGATTTATGCAAACTTCGAGACATGGATCTAATCAACAGAGCGACCACTTCCGTCTGGCCGGGGACTACACTCAATCTCATCAAATTTCCTGTTCGCGAGCCCACGGGTTGGGAATTACAGCTTCGTGTGAACCGATTGAGAGTATACGAGAGGAATGACATACAGGAGCGCAGACTTAAATGGAGTCTCTATAAGGAAACGGGTGACACTCGACACGCGACTCTTTCCGGTAGAATAGGCATGACTTTCAGAAGTGAAGTGCCGTTTACTGTGCAAAGTGGTCACCCATTTGCTCGCAAAATGGAAACTCCCAAACCTTTTGACCAAAACAGCAAATTCTTCAATGATTGCAATTTCTTTTACGACACCCCGGGAACCATATATAAGGATCAGATCTTAACTCTATTAACAACTGAAGAACTCCTTAAGACTATTCCGCGTGAAATAATCACTCCGCGAACCTTCACCTTAAGACCTCTTCAAAGTTTATTCATCGGAGGTTTGGGTCGAATTGATGTCATGCATGCCAGACAACAGGTTTGGCTGACTGTGTTTGCCTCGCATTATCTGCCCATACATGTGGTGCACACTGAAGAAGCCAAAAGGTTTTATGAGTCATATTTAGGGACAGATATGTTGGGCGTTCCCATCGGGGACTTTGAGCGTATCCAACAGTGGCCACAACTGGTGCCCAAAGAGATAGTCTTAGACGGCGTGTCTTGGAAAGAGAGTTGTGCTGATATAGTCTTATCGACTGCGGGTTGGGTTGCCGTCACATTAGGTCCCGACTCGCGTTGCGTTTTGAGAGCCTTTACACCAGAAGGCAGAGGTATTTTTGTGCGAAACCCTCCACTTCTTCCCCACGCTCTCAGACTTAGAGGCAAACGGATTGTGGGAACGCCTTGTTTCGAGAATAAGTTGTTTACAATCGACGACTTGGTCAGGGGTTCCATCCCTAAGCGCTTCTATAGACACCGGGAGATCAGACATATCAGCCAAAAACGTTTCCAACAAATTCAATAAAATGATTACTTTTTAAATAGAGATTTCTATAAATATTTTATTGAATTGTTAACATATGATAGCATTCATTAAAAAGTGAATTCAAGATAACATTAGAGTAATATTTATAAGAATAATAAATTTAACAAAAATATTGCAATTTATTTATTGCCCGGACACCGGGAGGTCAAATATTTCGAGTAGCAGTGGTCCAAAATCATTGGCCGATCCGGCGTCCAAATACATCCGTATGTGGTCTTCATTCAAAAGATGCAATTCTTCTAATTTAGTCATTAGTCGCAAGAATTTGGACTTCGCCTCACATTTCGAGTAATATTTAATCTCTAAATATCGTTGAAGTAAATACATGTATACCTGCTGTTCGAGTCTATTAAGAAAAGTATTGAGCCTGGTTAGTTTCAATCTGAACTGTGTCTCTCTATTGCCACTCACTTAATGGTGTCCTTATTGATGATATTTCGTCTCTCGGGAGAGAACAGTGTTATTGCAATCAACTGTCAAAACGATAGTACATTTAGACGGCGTGTTAATGAGGGCATGAATGGTTAAACATACCAGGTCGATTATCGTGGTATCGGAATCCCATTCGGATTTAAAAGCGTGCATAAACTTCTTGTGGGCCTCGTATACATTGCCTTTCGCCTGCTTTAATACATCCAATTTGATTAAAGTCGCGTTATTACTGTCCTAATGATTCGGTTAAACAGTACATTATTGTACAGTAAACTCGGGCTAATCCTCAAATTACTCAGTCTATCGTTAGTGCTACCCTTCCCTCTCATTCCCTTAATTGTCATCTGAGGTGGCATATGATAACATAGATTTTTGTGGTTATTACAACTAATCTAGCTCAAATCTATTGGGGTTAGAATTTGAGTGCAAAATCTTGACAAATATAATGATTTTTAATATACTGATTATAATAGATAAGAGTAGTATTATATGTTAAGTATTCAATAGAACAGTATATAAAACATTAAGAATATATGGAAATTGTTAAATAATGACTAAAATGCATACAAACCATAACAATAGTATAATATTCTCGTTCATAGTTATAGGAGACGACTGATCGCAATATAATGAGTTCAGTACAGCCGCCCTTCAACAGAGCGATCTGGTCGTGTTGGCACAGACTCTTGAACCCCACCATCCTTTTGGACATTTTGATCAGTTGTCGCACCGTTTGGTCAGTCATTTTGAGGGCATCCAAAATTCCGGTCACTTCCGAGGTGATGGCAGTGAACTGATCCTTCATGACTGCCATGGCATTCAACAGTTCCGTCAGTTTGTTTCGCTCCAAATCATTGAATTCAAAGTAATTAGCGTTTGTCTCATTCATGGTCTTCCTTATGGGAATGGACGCGAACTCCAGTTCAATGGCTTTTCTGTAGACAATCTCCGGGATGTCATTCATTTCATCCATTCTGGAGATGTTATCCATTTTTGTTCGGAAATTCTCATCGCTATTAATACTATTGATGTAATTGTTTTTATGACAATCGGTGACATTATTGAGCACTTGTAGGTCCATATTGACTGGCATTGGATTCATGATTGTTTGGGTCACTTCAATCGCCGTACATTCTTGCGATTCATCGAAATATGAGTTTTGAATCAAATTATCGCAAAAAGCATTATAAGAATCGCTATTTTGTACTCTATTTGCTCGCGAAGTGCTTTCATTGATATCACTATTTAATTGATAGTCATTTCTATTACCCGTCACCTCTAATAACATATCTCTTCCGAGGTTTACATTGAAATCCGGGGACAAAGTCTGCACATTATTGCTATTATCCATCGACGGTATGTTAGTGTCGACGACGGGTGTAGTTGTCGTCGAATCGGCGCCTTTCGTCACATCTGTTCCGTCGTGTCTTCTCTTCCGGTTTTCCGCTATTTTACTCCTTTTCATCACTTTCTCCTCCTCTGAAAGGATCCATTCCTTCAATCAAATGAACCCACAATCAATCAGACACTGTATTCACATATATATGATATATCACTCAATTGTCTCATGGATTCATACTTTTTTCATCCCGATATCAAAGCATTTCTTGAGTCGACATCTTTGACAGAACCTTCGGGTGACTAAATCTATTTTACAATTGCCATCAAAAGGACATTTAAACTCCTATAGTGTACAGAAAATGGTTATTAAACATGATTTGTGTGATAATATGACAGCAATTGTCGAGAACATTACTTTATTTCTCAGAGCATTCCTCCTGAAGAATGCTTTACACGATTCACATGTAATGGCATTGAAATTATAACCTAAATATAAATCATAGCATAAAATATTTGTCATCAAAATTAACTATTCATAAATACCAAGAGCCTTATCACCACAGATACCACATATTTTGGACAATTCCTTGTCATTCATCTCCATATCTATGATGTGAACGAATTCATTAAAATATGTGTTAACTAGGAATTAATGTTGCTAGTATAGTTTAAAAACAATAAAAATCAATAATCAATAAATTATTTTAAGTATTATATGATAATACCTTTGAATTGAGCGACAATATTGTATACAATTCACAATATAGTAATATACCTATTAATACTGTATCCCTTATTTATAAATATGTTAACATGAATATTAAAACTAGTTTAGCACACTTTAGGAAATAATATTAAAATATATAAATATATTAAATGGATAACAATTGAATAGTGAAGGAATATATGCGTAAAACACATCAATTGATTGCTTAGAAAAGTTAATTTCAAAATAATTATAAATATTGAGTCAAATTATAATGATTGAAATTATATGCAATGATAATGTGCTGAGAGATTGCGTACGAGTGCTATAGTAGTGCTGTCCTTGTCATAGGCATAGGCTTTGTATGAATATACAGTAACTTCGGCTAAAACTCTTAAAACTTGTTTATTTCACTTTCATTTATTATATACTCTACTACTGCAGTCAATTCGCTATTATTTATACAGTATTTCTCTAACTATTCATTAGATTAACGATTGAATAACTATCTATTAGTCAGTCCTCAAGGATTCACATTTTGCACAACA